AGGTTGTTTCAGGGTTCAACTTGAGTAAGCCATGCCCTGATTTAGATCAGCCCAGAGGTTGTTTCAGGTTTGATCTGTGACTCAGCTGTGCCCCAGTTTGATAAGCCCAGAGGTTGTTATTTCAGAGTTTGCCATGCATAAGTTAGCTGCTAGGATTTGGTCAGTGTACCATASTCAATGATTAATCCTCCCTTTCTTCACCTGCCAAGGGAGACCCATTGTACGATAATAATCAAACAATACACTATTTACCCTCTCTCTCCTGTCTTGAAAGCGATCATGTTTCCAAACAGGACTYCTGGATCTTTGCCTTTGTAAAATCTGTCTGGGGTTTCTGTTGCTTTGTCTGTTAAACATGTAGCCTCTTCCACGATCAGCACCACGGTCRGCACCACGGTCATCATGCTATAAAAATACACACAAACATAGATGAATACATAGTTCATGCGGCCCACAGTAATTGAAGAAATCTGTTGTTGTGTCCCTGACCTCTTGGGAAAAGTTTTAATTTCAATTACAGTGCAACACACCATATTTGTCGTATTAAGAAGATATAACTAGCTAAAAACTGGTGTGAGCTGCGTTGGTGTTTCTAATGAAACAGTAATGATAAAAARGTAAATTATACACCGTGAAAAGATGACAAAACTATTAAATCAGTCACTACAGAAACACAGTATTGGGTACTTCAACACATCTTTTGGAATGAAAGGTATTTACTGTGGGATTACCAACCAACTAAAGCAATAAAATTTAAACTCATGCTGGATGCTCTTTTTACTAAATACATGTATGAACAAATTATTCTATTTCTATTTCATTTTACATCGTGACACATGTGCCATATGTCAGTCAACAAATGCTTTACCAATGCCATTGAATTCTTAGATGATGGCTAGTAAACACTAGCGTGGACTTTTAAATGCGCTTAATTCATTCACTTGGCACCGTTAATCCCCACGGGATGAATGAACGCTTCGCTTATAATTAAGTTATTTCTCACCCATTGTTGCTTTCGATCCTTTTGTTTTCCTTTGTTTTATGGCTTGCTTTTTTCTTATTGGTTTGTTTTCTCTCTCCTCTACTATATAAACATCTCTCTCACTCTTACTTTCTATTGACTCTGACGAAGGACTAACRTCCGAAACGTCAGTTCCTATTTTCACTACGGTGTAAAACTTATCAATCTACRATAACTGTTCCATTGAATTCTTTCAGGCTAAGTGTTTCCATCAATTAAGAGACTTTTTATGAACAAAGTGTCCAGTGTTAGCCAGCAAAGGGAYCAAAATAAAGTACAAGTAGGTTTCATCTAGGCAGATTCCTAGCCATTTATTTAAGCTTTTGTTGAAACAAAAGGTACGACATAAATAGGTAGTAACATACGGGAAATAAATTACTGCAAAGTTTTAGTTTTGGAGATACAGTATTCGAGGAGAAAATCCAGTATTTTTATTTTATTCTACCTTGGACATAATATTTTTCCATTTTGGACCACAATATACATGTAATGAGAACATGCGTAATAGATGAATTACGAGCCTTAGACATGTAATAAATGATCAAGACAACAGCTACGACATGGAAATTGCGCAATATTTTTGAGATTTTTAGACTCAATCAAATAAATTGTTTGTCAGTTTAGGTTCTTATTTACTTCTAATATTCTATTTGATTGATGGTGGTCTAGTATTGCCCAATTTCTGAGTTGCTTGATTGTTGCATGTCTCGATAAGCGTGTAGCAATGAAAACAGCAATAATGTAGCATGGAAAATCTTGGCGCAATTTACCTCGAAGTATCTCTTCCCTCGAGGAACATCACACGGATCGGTCTCCACTTCTACCACTTGTCTTTCATCTCTCTGTTGATTCCTTGAGAATCCTGAGTTCAATCTGTCAAAGACACTGACTCTTTCCATTTTCTCACTTTGTAAACCTTTTCTGTTCTTGTCTCTATCATTGTCATCATTATTTTCACTTTTTCTTCTCGTACGCATATGACTTCTTCCAAGCCGTCTGTCATCTTTGTGTAATTGATCACGCTGGCTATGCCGTCTATGATATTCATATTCACCAYTTTCAGAAGATCTGCGCCTCCTCTCCCTTTCTCTATAAGTATAATTACACAGATATAAACTGCATAAGTTAATCTGTGCGTTTAAAAAGAGATAACTAGCTAAAAACTGGTGTGAACTGCGTCRGTGTTGCTAATGAAACAGTAATGATAAAAAGGTAAATTTTACACCGTGAAAAGATGAAAAAACTTACTGACGTTTCGGACGGAAGCTATGATGCTGTAACATGCATCAATGCAATGACTTTCCCATGACTGTGAAAAGCTCAAAGCTGTAAGCATGCCGTGCCATGATGTTTTCTAGGAATATTTCAATTGGCTGATTCTTTCAATTTGGTTGCTCTCGCAGTTCCATGACCTTGGCGTGACCACGTCTGCGTCATGTTYATGCCATGTTTCAGGCATTTGATTTGATAGAGAGTAAATTCTCAAGCAGTATGATTGGTCTAACAGATACCTTACTTAGTTGTATGTCTATAGAATTATCTGTGCGCTTAAATATCGAATGCATCTGATTTTCCACTTTTCTGGCCGTATTTGATCAAGCATTGATCAAGTGAATAAGATTTTTGCTTTCTGGCTTAGAAAAATGTGGTAAAATAAGCTTGCTATTTTGGCAAAGATCTATTAATCAGTGAAAGTGATCCGGAAAACAAGGGAATAYATCCAATATTTGGTTCCTTAATATAATCTTGTGAACAGCTGGTGAATATAATTACCTCCTTTGGTGGTTTTTTTGGAAATTTTCTGAAACAACTACAGCCGATGTTACTCTTGGTTTGGACGCCATTTTGAATAAACCATGTGACATGCGCACTAACACACTACACAGGAAACCCAATCATTCATTTTTATTATTGGCGACGTCACTTCCGTCCGTGCGTCCGT